CACGGCAGCTGGATGCGCGGGGGCTGCGGGTGCTGGCCGCCTGCCTGACCGAAACAGGGGCTGCGCAGCTGCGGGCAGCCACCTCACCGCGGCTGCAGGCCGTCCTCCTGGACGTCACCTCCAGCCAGAGCCGATGGGGCAGCTGCCCCCATCATTGTCCCTATTGTCACACCTGCTGGCCCTCCTACCGCTCTACCAACCTGTGCTGGCACAGCTGGTGCCGGAGCAGGGCTGTGGGCAGGGGAGCTCACCCCGTCCCACTTCCCCAGGTCTCTGGGGGCTGGTGAACAATGCGGGGACCGCCATCCCCACCGCCCCTAACGAGTGGCTGACCAAGGACGACTTCGTCAAGGTGCTGGACGTCAACCTGGTCGGCCTCATCGAGGTGACACTGAGCCTCCTACCCCTGGTGCGGCGGGCACGGGGCCGGGTGGTCAACGTGGCCAGTGTGATGGGCCGGCTTGCCTCCTTTGGGGGGGCGTACTGCATCTCCAAGCATGGCGTGGAGGCCTTCTCCGACACCCTCAGGTACAGTGGTGATGGCCACCAGTGACCCCCGGTGCTCCCCTGCGCCGGGGCTTGTCCGGCAGGCGGGCACGCGTTGGCAGGTGCAGGCATGCCAGGCGGCTCTGCCCCACTTCCTCCACGCAGGGTTTTATGTTGCACCCAGTTACATCCTTCCCTGCAGAGGAGAACAGCAGCGAGCCAAGGTGGGGGCTTGTGAAATACCGACACAGTCACGCACAGGTTGGGAAACCAGGGCACAGCTGGAGCAGCAGTTGTGCAACCAGAGGAAGGGTCTCGAGAAAGCCTTGAGGAAGGAGAGGGCTCCCCTGCACCCACCCGGGGGATGATGGGGTGCCCAGGGGGGGTCATGGGCTCCCCCTCACCCTGTGCGGCTCTGTCCCCCCCAGCCCTTGCTCGGCTCGGGACGGCGGCTCTGTCCGCAGGGCTGACAGCTCCTCCCCGGCCAGGCGCGAGATGCGCCCCTTCGGGGTGCAGGTTTCTATCATTGAACCCGGTGGCTTCCGGACGGGGATGATTGACCCCGCGACAGTGGTGAAGGGCTTCAAGCACCTCTGGGAGCGGCTCCCAGCAGAGACCCAGGCAGCCTACGGACACCATTACCTGGAGACCTGTGAGTACGTCCTCATGTGGCACTGGCACTCCCTGGTGACCCCACCACCGCTGGCATGCCGGGCCGGGCTGACCCCCCTCTGTCCACCCAGATGCCAAGAGCACCTTCCTGCTGCACCGCCTGAGCAGCTCCCGCCTGTCCCACGTCACTGGCGTCATGGCGCATGCGCTGCTCGCCCGCTTCCCCCGCAGCCGCTACGCGGCCGGCTGGGACGCCCGGCTCGCCCTCCTGCCGCTCAGCTACTGCCCGGCCTGGCTCACCGATGCTGCCATCGGCCTCTTCCTGCCTATCCCAGCTGGGGGGATGCCCACGCACCGCTGAGGATGGCCGCCGGACCGGGGATGTGGACACAGTACCCACGGGCACCCGCTCGCCTTGGGCCCCTGTTAATTTGCTCAATAAAGCTGGTGCAAAGCGAGGGGCTGCCCGCAGTGAACCCCAGCCTCGGAGGTGTCCGAGAGCTGCCTGGCCATGGTGCTGGGTGACCAGCTCCACCAGGGCAGCATGACGCTGGTGGGGTCCATGCCAGCCCGCGGGGTCCGTGCCAGCCTGTGGCAGGACCCTGGCTGCCGCCTGTGCCCAGAGCAGCGGTGTGCCCAGGGATGTCTGAGCTGCGGCACAGGATCCTCTCTGCCCCCACAGCCCTTCGAGGGGCTGATGGCTGCGCCGGGGTTCCAGCTCATCCTCATGGTCATTGGCAGGGGCCAATCCACACCTACTGGCACAGCCGATCGTGGCTGGGGGGGCGTTCCTGGAGAAAGGAGT